CCCAGGCCCCGGCCCGCTCCCCCCCGGCCCCGGCGGCGGCGGCGGCGGTGGCGGCGGCTCGAAGGCCCGCTTGGGCCCGGGCCCCGGGGGGAGGCCGGGCGGGGCCGCGGCCGGCGGGTGCAGCTTACCCAGCGGCGTGGCGTTCGCTCCGGTCGCCATGGTGCCCCCGGGGACCGGCGCCGGCGGCGGCTGGGGCGGTGACGGTGGCTCCGGGGCGGCGACTTGGGCTTCGACTTCGCGAACCTTCGCGGGGTCGCGGCGCGGGCGGCGAGCCTCCTCCGAGCGGACCGGACCGGACCGCGAGCGAGCGCGAGCTTCTTCCTCTCACGCGGCGGGCGCGGCGGCGACGACGGCGGGCGGGCGGCGCGAGACGCACAAAGAGGGAGGAGGGGGGCGCCGGGGACGGGGAGGGGCGGGCCAGCGGACAGGGCGCCAGCCGCCGATTGGTGGAGGGTCGGCCCGGGGCGGGGATGGGAGCGCTCGGATTGGCGGAGCTGGGGCCGGGCGCTGGGTGAGCCGGGATTGGCCCGAGCCGTTAGGAGGAGAGAGGAAATGGCGGCGGGGGTGGGAGGGGGCGCGGTGCGCTCTCCATTTGTTACTGCGCGAACGGAGTTCTAGGCTACCTGGATGCGTGTGGGGGATGGAGGCGAACTCTATGACGTCAAGGAGCAGCGGTCCTCTCATTGGCTGAGCTGAGTACAGTCCATCAAGCCCAGAGATGGTCCAGATTGGCTGCGCCGAGTTCTCGCCTCTCACCCCCACCCCCTTCGCCGGGGGAGCAGTTTCCCCCTGATTGGAGAAGAGGTCACGGCCTCGGAGTCGGCGCCAGGCCGGGACTGGCGGGGGACGGGGGGGGCGCATGCGCACGGAGCCCCATGGCAGGGAACTGGGCCCGCTCTGGTTCCGGAGGTGACCCGCCGCTCGCTGGCCCAGGGCAGTGATACTCCCCGACCTTGTCATAGTGCTTTGCCGCGTGATCTCTGGCAACCCGCCCCCCCAGCTGATCAGAACGGAAGGGACCTAGGAGCCCATCCCTGTCTAGACAAGGAAACTGAGGCCCAGAGGTGATCAGGCCGCTCAGCCCAAGACCACGACCCCCTGGGGGCGATGACGTCACCCAAGCTGCCAGGTCCGTGTCTGCTTTCCCTGCCGGAGGTTTTGTAGGTGCCCTCCTCTGCACGACCCCAGCCGGATCCCACCCGTCCACTCTACACCTGCCAAACCCATTTTGACCCGCAGGGCTCTTGCCCCCTGGGATTCGCTTTGTGCTCTGACCACTCCGCTCCCTTTCCGGTCTCTACTCAGTAGTGACCCTTTGAGCTCTGCACTGCCCTCTGCTCTCGAGCCCCTTGTCCTGGCACGGAGACGCTCCGTGACCATGGCCCAGCTCCCGCTCGGGGCCTGTCGGAGGAGCTGGAGGCGATCTCAGAAGCTTGCTCCTGAGTCTGTGCAGCAAAGCCTTCCTGCCATTCCTGATCCTGCCCCCCTCCTGCTCTCAGCTGGGGACCTTGCCCCTTTTTTTACTGAGAAAATGGAGACCACCCACAGCCATTTTTATCTCAAAAGCCCTGCATATCATCTCCCGTATCTCATCCTTTCCGGAGGCTCTCACAAAAAGATGGCCCTGCTCCTTGCCAAGGCCAACCCTGTGCATGTGCACTGGACCCCATCCCCCCATGTGATTGCTCCCTCCATCATCCCCCTTTCTCCTTCCTTCAGACAGGCCCACGTCTACCCCTTGCTGAAAAACAACCTTTCTCTAGAGCAGGGTTGGGGAACCTTCCCCTCGAGACCACATGTGGCCCCCTGGATTCAGTCAAAGGGCTGCACTTGAGGACCTAGAGGGCCACATGTGGCCTCGAGGGGAAGGTTCCCCACCCCTGCTCTAGGTCCTCATTGTTTTAGATCTCTTCTCCCTTTCTCAACCTCATTCCTTGGAAATGCATTCTGTGCTCACTGCTCTGGATTCCTGTCACCATTCCTCAACCCTTTGCATTCCTGCTTCTGCCCTTGTCCTCATCTCCAAGACCTCTTCAAGCCGAGCTTCATGGTCTCTTCTCAGGCCTCGTCCTTCTCTGCCTGTCTGTGGCATTTGATTCTACTGACCATTCTCCCCTCCTCTGGGTCTTTGTGACACTGTTCTTACCTTCTACCTGTCTGACCACTTCTGGCTCATCATCCACATTGTGGGCTCTGACCGTGGGGGTTCGTCCAAGACTTTGTCCTGAGCCATCCTGTATTTTCCCATTACATCCTCTCATCTGGTAATCTCACCAGTTCCCAGGACTTAGCACTCATCTCTAGGCAGATAACTCCCAGCTGTGTATGTACTCCCAGTCTCTCCCCTAAACTTCAGTCTCATATTAGACATTTCAAACTGAAAGACATCTCAAACTCAGCCTAAGACTGAATCCATTACCTCCTCCCCTTCTGACGGCTCCTCTCGCAAATGTCCCTGTTTCAGTGAAAGTCTCCCTGACCTCCAGAATAGCCTCACTCTCCCTCACTGCACACATCCTCTCAGTGGTCAGATCTTGCCATTTGTACCTTCTAACCCTCTCCAACATCTTTTTTTCTACCCTCAAAACTACAAGCTTAGTTCAGACCTATATCACCCTGAAGTCATTTCCCCACACCAGTCCATGGAACAAGTCAATCTTCCACCTCCACGCCTTTGCACTCGCTGTCCCTTATGCGTGGAATTCACTCCTTTCCCTCCTCCTTAAAGAGTCCCTTCTCTGCCTTGAAAACGAAGCTTGAGCACCGTCTTCTACTTGTATATTTGTATTTATTCACTTTATATTTATGACCTGTTCAGAGGTGGGGAACCTGCAGCCTTGAGGCCACATGTGGCCCTCTAGGTCCTCGGATGTGGCCTTTTGACTGAGTCCAAGTTTTACAGAACAAATCCTTTTATTAAGGGTATCTGTTCTGTGAAGTTTGGATTCAGTCAGAGGGCCACACTTGAGGACCTGGAGGGCCACGAGGCCACAGGCTCCCCCCATATCTTGTCATGTGTACTCAATGTCTGCCCAATTAATAATAATAGCTAGTGTTCATTTCCTTTGTGCTTGCATCCCCCAGGCCTAGCGCAGTACCAGATCTTCAGTAAAAGTTGCATAAATGCTTGTTGACTTGTTATTACATCTAAAATCAAATAGAAATTCTTCGACTTGGCATTTAAAGGTGTTCACTGTCTTGAGTCGTGTCCAGTTATTCATGTCCCCATTTGGGGTTTTATTGGCAGAGATGCTAGTGAAGTTTGCCATTTCTTTCTACAGCTCATTTTACAGATGAGGAAACTGAGGCAAACAGGGTGAAGTGACTTGCCCGAGGTCACATGGCTAATAAGTATCTGAGGCCAGATGTGAACTCAGGAAGAGGAGTCTTCCTGATTCCAGGCCCTCTATCCACTTCGCCACTCCTTCCTGTTCTAAGTGTGGGATTGAAACCACACTCTTTGGCTCTGATGTCTCCTGGCTGTTCCAAGGACACAGACTCTCCATCTTTTGGTTCTTGCCCTCAGGCATCCTACTGGGGAAACCTCCCCAGCCCCTCTTAATTCCGGTACCTTCCCTGGGTTAACTAGTGTTGTCTCACCCACTTAATTGGGAGCTCCCCTGGAGCAGGGACTGGCTTTTGTCTCTCTTTGTATCCCCAGCACTTAGCACAGGCCTAGCACTTAGTAGGTGCTTAATGAGTGTTGCATTGGTGCCTTAACTGGGTGAGAGAATTTTGAAGAATGAGCGTTGACTTCCTTTGAAACTGGGAAAAACTGGATCATTCCCTAAGCAATTTGTCTAAGTGAGAGAGAGAAGCTGTTGGGGGTGAGGTGGGGGGAAGACAAAGACACCAAGGAGGAAATTCAGAAGGTCCGGATTTCAGAGGTCAGAGCAAATGGGGGAGGCCTAGGAAGTCCCAAGAGTAACAGGTCAGCCCTTTCCATGCCTGTCAGTCCTCAAACACTCAGAAGTTTTGTTATCAAAGTGTTTATAATAAGCTGGATTAAGTCTAGGAGCCCAACCTCCGCCTGCCCGTGTGAGGAATTTTTCTAAGGGCTCAGAGCAAGTAGAACTTTTCATCTAAAACAATCCCCCCAAAGCTAGAGAGGAGAGAACCCTGGGGACCTTAGGGGCCCTTTTATTGCCCCCAGGTCTAAAATAAGCCAACTGCTTGACCCAAATGCTACACTAGCTTTCCGGTCTTCATGTCCAGCCCACTGTCACACACCTGGTTCCATCGCCCATCTCCCATCTCTGTAGTCTTTCACTAGCTGTCCCCCGCTACCCGCCAGGGCTAAAGCACACCCCACCCTAACACTCAGCAGGCACTTAAATGCTGAGTGACAAAATGCTGAATGAAGTCACATCCTTGAATCCTTTGCAAACCTTAAAAGCAGTTACTTAATTATTGTTGTAATTATTTGAAGATCCAAAGTCTAATGAAATGGCCCCTGCCCTCCTGGAGCTTATAGTCTAACGGGAGCCAGAGGACATGTACAACACGGTATGTGCAATAGAGGTATAGACAAAGATAAGCTCGGAGTAGAAAGGTCCCTTGGGAGGGGGAGGCCCCGGAGAGGGGGAGGGGGTCTCCCAGGAAAGGCCTCCTGCAGAGACAGTGCTCCATCTGAATCCTGGAGAAAACCAGAAAGACCAGGAAGAGTCATCTCGGACAGCCAGTGCAAAGATGGGAAATGGAACCATGCCGATTGGCTGGGTCACACAGGTCTCTCCACCACAAACTGAGTGGGGAAGGGAAGCAGGAGGGATCCACATGGGTCAGACCTGCATCTGAGGAAAAGCCCTGGGGCAGGAGTTGAGAAAGATGATACAGAGCTTCCCCAGGTCGCCAGAGCCAGCCAGAATCTGAGACTAGGAACTTGGCCAAGTGTATTCCAGAGGATTTGCTGGGGACAGGAAATGGAAGACTGGGGGAAAAGTGTAGGAGAGCATTTCATGCCCCTACCCTCATGACTACCGAGCAGCTAACAGGCTGTTCTGTACCAGATACCTTTACATTCTGATAGCAAATATTTAAACTAAGTGTGAACAGTCCTTAGGTACCTCTATTGAATCATTTAATTAATCAGAGCTGTAGACTAGGTGTGTATAACAAGTGCTCCAGGCCACTGGATGAAATCTGACGACAAGATATATTAGGATTGGTTAAAAATTCTAAATGTAAAACTAATTACAAAATAATTATGAATGCTGTATGTA